TAGCGGTCTCCCACCATTTTCTTTGAACCTTTGCCTGTTTGCACACAGTGACAGAGTTTGAGAATCGGCTTTCTTGAGGCCTTACGTTTTAACTTCTTCCTTCTCTTTTTCAGACCATTAATAATGTTCCAATGTGGGTAATTTAAATTGGAACCTTTTTATTTCTTTGTTTGTTTTTTTCGACTGCATTTTCTAAATGAAAAATTCAATCAATCAGTCAGTCAAAACTGGAGTCAACAGGGTAGTGCCGGTGTTCATCAAAATCTTTCTTTAGGGTGAGACTTGATGCCAATTCTACGAGACACCGTTGGCTGCTTCCACTTGTTTCCTTCATTTAAATAAAGTCACCTGCCTTTGCCGGTTGCCTGTTTTCTTTACACAGCAGCAGCAGCAGCAGCAGCCAGGATAAGTGTCGGAACCAAATATGAATTTGATTAGATGTGAGTCAGAAGGTACACAAACACTTCACCATGAAGGAGATAAAGGTCAGGCAGGGAGTTGAAGGCCGGTTCACCTCCTCCACTTCTACCCGGTCACCTCGCACTCATGAAGACAAGGTGAAAGAGGTGGGTCCTTGACCTTGGTTAAAGTTGTAATTAACGATAAGTGGTCCTCTTAAGTCGAACACAGGTTACCAGGTTGGACGGATATGCAATCCAAATTTGTAGTTTATCCAACAACAAAAGCTTTAATTGACCAAGATTCTGTCCAAATTGCACCAGCGGCCTTACAGCAATTACTAATGTAAAGATTGTTCACGCGGACAGTTTCTTTCATAGCAAGAGCCAGAATTCTGTCACTCCATTATGTCAAATATGGAGCATTCTTAACCTTGAACAGCCCCCCGCCTTCCTCTAATCCTTAAAGCTTATCTAGGCTCTCTATTTTGACTGTCCGTCAGTCCTCTTCCAAATAGCTGAGAGCTTTTTATCAAGCCAACAAGTGGGAAATTAACGACGAGGGAGCAGCGTGAGCTCGGCTAGTGTTTCCCAAGCCTTTTTACGTGTCTTTAAAGAAAAATAGCAGCAATGGGTTAACGTTTGGTCGATATTAAATTCGAACAAAGTGCCCTCGTGTGTTGTTTTGCATCCTGCTTATCAGTCCTACTCCAGCGCTGCCCAATGTTGCTGTGTGTTTAATAAGGAAAAAAAAAAAAGAGATAGGACTCAGACAGAGAGAGGGGAGGTTGATGCCTGAATTATGTGTTTAGTTTCCATGCATTTAAATCAAGTTTGAAGGCAGAGATGGAATTTACCCCTTCACTCTTTTTTTTTTCTGAAATACTTTGGCCTGATCTCTTTCGATGTTACCTTTTCCTCCTTGTAAAAACCTGTCTTCGCTATCCCCATCCTTTATGTAACAATGTCACATGTTTGAGTATTTGAAAAATCAATCTAGGGTCAAATTTTTCAGTTTAGTGAATCTAACAAGGACAGTATGGCAATAATTTTAAATGGTTATATAACGGGAGAGACTGCGAAAAGTATTTACCATCTGTACTTCAGTAGAAGTACAGATATCTGTGGAGAAAGAAACAAACCGTAAAATATGAATCCCTCTCTCTCTCTCTCTCTCTCTCTCTCTCTCTCTCTCTCCCTCCACCCGCAGTAATCTTTGTCATTCACAGAGTATCAAGAATATATGCCTGTGTATATTGTTATACTATTGGTCTTCACGTGTCTTAAAGGCTTTAACATCATTACACAGATACTATCCAGTAGCCCAGGGGTGTGAAACTCGTTTTTGCTCCAAACAACACACGTGATGTACCTTTGCGGGCCACCTAAAATGATGTCGCGGGCCGAATCTGGCCCCTGGGCCTTGAGTTTGACACCAATGTGTTAGCCCGTCCAGGAAATCTTTCATTGTTTGTTTACACTAAGATAAACAAACTTTCCAAAGCCAAAGCTTTGTGGTTGATTTAGATTCACAATGCTTTGTTTTTGCTTAGTTTGACAGGAAACATAAGTTGGGAGTGACAATAAACAGCTTGAAACCCGTTTTCAAATATTTTTTTTACGATCCACTGTTTGCTGCACTGCCACCACACAGCGCTGGCATTTTTTTGAATGAAAATGAAAACAAAAAAAATAATTCAAAGATGTTGCCCGATCAATGGCTCATAAATCGCATCTCTCATATCTCAAGGCACTACTGTATCTATTTCAAGTGTCGGGAATAAAAGTAAAAAGTCATCCAAAAAATACACTTTCAAGTAAACTACAGATATCGGAATAATCTCTTAATACTGTATTTTAGAGCGAGAGATATTTACCGGAAAAAAGTGAGTGATAGAACCTATTTGTTCCTTGTCATGTTCACAGTAGAAAAAATGGCAGGGGATGGGTTGAGTGGTTGAGGGCACTTTTTTTTTTTAATTCGTGTTCCATTATAGTGCTGTTGAGAGTTATGTCAAGCTATTCTTTGTTTCATTTTACTTCGTGGCGGCGCATGATTTTGTCTCTGCCGCCTCAGTGAGACATCACTGCAACCACACGAGGGACGGCGGTGTGGGAAGGACGGCACTGCGCTGTACATCTCCTCTCACCATTAAACAAACATGAAGGAATGGAGTGCGGGGTGAAATGGAAGTTGGCTCAGGGAAAACTGAGAAGAAAATGACAAAGGAGACGGATGGGAACGTGGGACGGGGATAGGGGAGGAGATGTACCTACCTGTGTGCACAGCAGAAAGGTGCAAAGTCAATCATCTTTAAGACAGGCAGACAGTCTGGGGAGTTTATTTTTACCGCCATTTAAGAAGAGTCTGGACTACATTTCGCAGGTTGGCAGCACCTTTTACAGGAGGTTCTAGGACAACCACCTTTTATGCATGCCAGGATACACTCAGGTTCCTTTTTGGCTCGTGGTGACTGTGAAAACTTTTGAGTGGGAAAAAAAAAAAAAAATCAAGTTTTAAATGTTCATCGACGACATATGTTCAAACTTCAGGAACTTGTTTTGGTAGCGCTCAAGAATATTCAAATTACTAATAATGCATTTGAATTAACATTCTATAATAGAATTTCAAACTTAAAAATGGATTTTTTTTCATTCATGTTAAAGATTGCCCAATGAATCAGTGACTTTGAGCTAGCTATATGTTCATGAGAAAAAAAAAATGACTAAGTGTATACATCAAACAACTTTCAAATCCATCCCTTAAATTCAAGACATCTTGGGTGTGAATTGTGCTAACACAAACGAGCAGAATCTAAAGTGAGATAAACGAAGCAAAGTTAAGATTAAATACGATAACATAAAATAAGATTAAGTATTAGAAGCACAATTTGGAAATTTGCATCATTTTGGCACGACATTTGTACAAGAAGCAGATTGCACAGAATAGAAACCTAACTAGCCAATCCATCCAACCCAACCTAACTAACTGCCCAATGTTACGGTTGTGTTCTCTGACAGCTGCAGACAAATAGCAGCAGAATCTCCTTTACACAGCGCGGGTGTAAAAAGTCTGTCATTGAGAGAGCTGTGTAGTACGAACAGAGTGTTCTGCAGTAGGTGGGTAGGATTGTCCAGCATGGTTGACAACTTAGCTAGCATCATCCTGTCTCCCCACTGTGTCAGCTGAGTAGCAGGCCAAGACAGAGCCGGCCCTCTTCATCTGCTTGTCCAACCTCCCTTTTTCTTGAGCAGATATGCCGCCAGCCCAGCAGACCACTCCATACAAAAACGCTGCTGTGACCACAGTCATGAAAGTGCAGGAGTGTCCCCTGAACACCGAAAGCCATCAGCCTCCTTAGCGGGAAGAGTTTGCCTTGACCTTTCTTGCACCTGTATTGTCCCTTCAGTCCAGTTGTTGTTTATGTGGACACTTCGGTACTTGGAAGCTGAAACCCTCTCAAGGACAGTTCCCACGTTTTTCAGCAGTGCAGCTGAGAAGTAGCTGCTAAAATCCATCACCAGCTTCTTGGTTTTTCCAGTGACCTGGAACCAAATTTTTGTGGCACAGTTTCACAAAACCACAAATAAGTGAACAAAAATTCCTAGTCGTCTCTGTCTGTAATGAGGCCAACAATGAGAAAATCTGCAGGTGAAAGGTAGGGGGTCCTCCAGTTGAAGTCTGCTATGTACAGGGTGAAAAGGGGAAGGAGCTAGAACAGTTCCTTGTGGTGCCCCGGTGCTGTCGAGAAGCATGTCAAACCTGCAGTCCTGTGTCTTAAAATATACAGTCGTGGTCGGTTGGTGAGGTAGTCAGTAACCCAAGCTGTTAGGTGATGGGCCACCAATGCAGGTTGGGTTGTATCGTGTTGAAAAAAAAAAAAAGGGAAATTGAAAGAATATTTTCCCCAAAGTGCTCCCAGCCTCCTCCAGGTGGTCCAGTAATGTGTGGAGGAAGCAGATGATGGCCTCCTCCACATCGTTGTCAGTCTGCAAAGTAATCACTAATTCATGTTCTGCTTACTCATTTCAATTTGTGATCATCAATATTGCCCTGCTTCAAATACATGTACTTCCATTATTTTTTGTTTAGACAAAAGAGATGTAAAGAATGGAAAAAGCCACTAAGAAAGATCCACACTTCCAAGTTCCACTTTTGTCATTCCACCAGTATTGTATTATTTCATGATTTGTTTGTTTATTTGATTTGAATGAATTTATTTCACTTGCATCTGCATTGCGACTGTTTTTCTTCCTCCTGTAATCGTTTTCCTTTTTCCGGACATTGCAATTTCAATTAACTTGGAATCCAATTACACCGCCAGACATGAAAGGTTCATCGACATTGTTCATATTCTCAATTTGTTTCAAACAAATAACCTGTCCTTTAAACAAGAGTGAAAATGACTCACGCCCGGATGTATTATTTTTCATACTATTATGTGTTATTATGTCTTCAGTTTCTCATGTGATTCATACTTTGTGTGATGGGACTGTGGCGCCATTGCACATTGCATCGCGGAGCGCTCTCATGTTTTTATTCATAAATATGTACACGAGTATCACACCAAGTGACTTATCACCCTTGTTCTTTATGTGCAGGCTAGCGTTGTACGTGTACGAGTACCTGCTGCACGTCGGAGCCCAGAAGTCAGCACAGACTTTCCTCTCAGAGGTAAGTCACCAAGAGGGTGTGCATGTTAATGTCGTGCATGTTGAGCACATTCTGACAAATAGGTCTGACCCTTGTGTGCCATGTCCGGTAAGTGTAACACCTGATTGAATTAGCCAGGGCAGAAAGTGCTGAGCCAAGGCGTTAGTAGCAGCAGATAAGCTTTTTTTTTTTTTTTTTTTTTTTTTTTAAACACTTGCGTTGCATATAGCAGAACTGGAGCCAGAGAGCATTAAGCATGCCATCCTGGGACTTTCATTTTTCTATGACGTCATTCACTGATCTCCTCAAAAGCTCAATTTTGTCCTTTGTGGTTACCTTTCATCCTTCCTCTCTGACTTATCTCTACTTCTATTACTCTTCCTCCGATGGAAGTGGGTGAGGTAAAAAGGTGATAAGTTGAAAGGGGGGGGCGGGGGGGGGGGGTCAGTAGATTCGGATGGCTCAGCCTAAATAAAAGT